GATAGATAGATAGATAGATAGATAGATAGATAGATAGATAGATAGATGCCAAACGCGACTGAGGGGAATTCTGTAAAAGCTGCAGTGCTGGTTTTCACATAGCTGGTTTTACATTAGGGAATTTTTAATGAAAACAAAAAGCCATAGTGTACATTTACTGTTATTCTTTCTAAGATGCTTGGTTGCAATATCCTACGGTGGAATAAATGACACTGTCTCCATAAAGCTGTCTTTTTGAAAGGTGCAATATCCAGTCTTATCTACATCATAAATATGTCTGAAGTCAAACAAAAAACCCTTTCCCTCACCAGGAATAATAGATTAAAATGAATATGTTTGGGGTGATGCATATGTGACAGCTGCGCCTCCCTGTTGTACAAGCACGGAGAAGACAATAACAGGCTGTAGCGGTGGCAGGCCACATACATACTTCCTCTTTTTTTCACAGAGGTTCATTGCACTGTGTTCGGTTTATGGCACATCACAAACAGAACTTTTTATCAGGATTGTAACGAGTTCATGTGATACATACTCACACTCTCACTCACACCCACACACACACACACAAAATGCAAACGCTAAATGCAAAATATAGCCACGCTGGTAAACTACTCAAGAGGTCTATTCAAATGTTGAAATCATAACAGAAGAGCATGATCTTTTATTTTACACAGTGAAGGGAATATAGCATAACTAATCCATTATTGTGTGTACAAAGTTCATGCAAGCCACTTTAACTTATTACATAAACTGATTATTTCTTCATTAGACTAGTTCCCTGGAGTATCTGGCAATGTTTTTGTTTCTGATGGGAAAAGTCAAATATCTTAACCTTCCAAATATCAAATTGATACATTTGGAGGATTTTGACACAGTTGTACCCTCCAGCGTCAGCCATGACCACAACTAACTGCACTTAAAAAAGATAATTTTGCTCTGATACATGACTCCAACAAATTATCATAAATTCGGTTAAACCTTCCATTATTTTGTCAGTGAATGCTCACAGGAACGCTTTGCATGCATGTCTCACATTAGGCAAAGTTCAGTGAATGGGACTTTTGTTATCATTAAGAGGACGCCACACAGGACCTTGTTTTTTCTGTGGAACAAAGCTTCCAATGTAGTCACTCTGGTCACAAATATTTATTTTCTAATAAAAAAAATATAACATTTTTAGAAATACTGTTGGCTTTCACTGAAAATGATTGTTCCTTTCACAAGCCTTTGCTGATGAGACGTAAAGGTTCTTTTTATGTATTAACCCACGCTCAAATGCTAGTCAGCTGTTTATGTTTGCTGTTCATAAGGCTACTCCCGTTTGCTAACTGTCTTTATCACTAAACCATATTACAGTACCTAAATACCAGAAAAACATCTATTCTCTCTGGCCAGTTGAAGCAGCTCTGCAAACTCCCCTTAAAGTTGTATGAGTTGCTTTGAGCAAGTCTCGACCCTGTTTTTTACTGCACCGGTTTGTAGTCTGAGGTTAATAACTTGTGCTAACATGATCATATCCACAAAAACGAGCAAGCAATACTGGTTGAGCTAGACAATCGGGAAGCATGTTAATCCAGTATGTTTGTGCTGATGGAGCAAAAGCAACGGGGGGAAAAAAAGCAGCTTTGAATGATGTCTGAAAAACTAGCTTGGAATAACATAATGTTAAAATGTAATTACTGCAACAGAAGCAACATTTATGGCTTAAGTGTTGTTTCAACAATCATTAAAAGCATGATTTTTTATTACAGCTCTGGAATGATTGGTTTTTACAGTTTTATTTCTGTTGTGTCGTATTTAATGTGAGGCTGCACCTGTGCCATGGCACAACCTTCTCGGGACAAACACACTTAAAGCTTAGAGGGTATTATAAGGGTGTACCCCAATCAGCTACACCTACACATATCCACTTCCATTTCCTCCTATTTGTTTACCCATCCTGCAGGCTATCGGCATTAGCTAGGTTCCACCTCCCTCTACTGGAGTTTGAAGGCAATGCAAGCTGTGGCTCATCCTCATCAAGGTTGTTGCAATGCAATTTCAACACTCAACCGCGCAAGCCTCTATCAAATATCAACAGTGACATAACTGCTCATCTTATTTTTCAAAAACTTTTTTACTCCAAGAAATTTTCATTGACATCACCAAGATATTGCTGTGCTTTTTCCCCCCTCATCCATTTGATCCGGTCTCCTCCAATGGTCCATAAACGGAAGTGTGAGGTTAACCATGAAAAGTGAAAACTTTTTCCATGAAAATGGCCACTGAGACTTTAAACATTCATCCATCCATCCATCCATCCATCCATCCATCCATCCATCCATCCAT